GGACTGGACTGTGGGACATAAAGTGATACTCGTGAGGAGTGTGTCTCTTAGCTCAAGTAGATACAAGAGACTAAACAGGCAGCTTCTGTCTGGAGGTGAGATGGGAAGGCAGAGAGGGTTAGGAGCTGGTTGAATGGACATAGGGAATTGGGTGGAAAGGAGGAGTGTGCTCTCACAGCATGGGGACAGCAATTAGGGTCACATAATAATATATATATAAATTTTTGTATGGGAAAAAATTAAAAAAGAAAATATGGCTTTGGTGATAGAAAGGATGGCAGAGATCGCATGACAGAATTTTGAGAGACCAACGACTTCTTCATTGCAAATACCTTTTTTCACCAACATAAATGGCAACTATACACATGGACCTCACCAGATGAAACACACAGGAATCAAATCCACTACACCTCTGGGAAGAGATGATGGAAAAGCTCAATATCATCAGTCAGAACAAGGCCAGGGGCCAACTGCAGAATAGGCTATCAGTTGCTCATATGCAAGTTCAAATCGAAGCTGAAGAAAATTAGAACAAGTCCACAAGTGCCAAAGTACAACCTTGAATATATGCCACCTGAATTTAGAGACCATCTCAAGAATAGGTTTGATGCACTGAACACTAATGACAGATGACCGGACGAGATGTGGAATGACATTAAGGACATCATACATGAAGAAAGCGAGAGGTCACTGAAAAGACAGGGAAGAAAGAAAAGACCAAAATGGATGTCAGAAAAGACTCTAAAACTTGCTCTTGAATGCACAGTAGCTAAAGCAAAAGGAAGAAATGATGAAGTAAAAGAGCTGAACAGAAGATTTCAAAGGGCAGCTTGAGAAAACCAAGTATTATAATGACATGTGCAAAGACCTGGAGTTACAAAACTGTCTTAGTCATCTAGTGCTGCTGTAACAGAAATAACCACAAGTGGATGGCTTTAATAAAGCGAAGTTTATTCTCTCACAGTCTAGTAGGTTACAAGTCCAAATTCAGGCTGTCAGCTCCAGGGGAACACTTTCTCTGTCAGCTCTGGAGGAAGGTCTTTGTGATGCATCAGTCTTCCCTTGGGCTGGGAGCATTTCAGCGCAGGAACCTCAGATCCAAAGAATGAGCTCTGCTCCTAGCACTGCTTTCTTGGTGGTATGAGGTCCTCATGTCTGTCTATTCACTTTATATCTCAAAAGAGATTGGCTTAAGACACTATCTAATCTTGTAGACCTCATCAGTATAACTGCCATTAATCCATCTTATTACATCATAGTGATAGAATTTACAACATACAGGGAAATCACATGAGATGATAAAACAGTAGACAATCATACAATACTGGGAATCATGACCTAGCCAAGTTGACAGATATTTTTGGGCGACAAATTCAATCCATGACAAAAACCAAAAAGGAAGAACACGTTCGGCATTTCTCAAGTTGAAAGAACTAAAGAAAAAATTCCAGCCTCGAGCTGCAGCACTGAAGGAGTCTATGGGCAACATACTGAACGATGCAGAAAGCATCAAAAAAAGATGGAGAAACACACAGAGTCACTATACCAGAAAGAATTGGCCGACATTCAACCATTTCAAGAGATAGCATATGATCAAGAACCAAAAAAAAGAAGAAAGTCCTAGCTGCACTGAAGGCATTGGTGAAAAACAGGGCTCCAGGAATTGACGGTATACCAATTAAGATGTTTCAACAAACGGATGCAGCACTGGAAGTGCTCACTTGTCTATGCCAAGAAATCTGGAAAACAGCTACCTGGCCAACTGACTGGAAGAGATCCATATTTATGCCTCTTCCAAAGAAAGGTGATCCAACCAATGAGGAAATTATCAAACCTATCATTAACATCACATGCAAGTGAAATTTTGCTAATGATCATTCAAAAGCAGTTGTAGCAGTACATCAACAGGGAACTGCCAGAAATTCAAGCCAGATTCCGAAGAGGACACGGAACAAGGGATATCACTGCTGATGTCAGATGGATCCTGGCTGAAAGCAGAGAATACCAGAAAGATGTTACCTGTGTTTTATTGACTGTGCAAAGGTATTCAACTGTGTGGATCACAACAAATTATGGATAACACTGTGAAGAATGGGAATTGCAGAACACTTAATTGTGCACTTGAGAAACCTATATATAGATCAAGAGGCAGTCGTTCAAACAAAACAAGTGGATACTGTGTGGTTTGTGGTTTAAAGTCAGGAAAGGTGTGTGTCAGTGTTGTATCCTTTCACCATACTTATTCA